TGCTTGTGATGCTCATACTTGGATTGTTGTTATATATTTTTGTCGGTGAAAAGAACCAAGGTTCTTTCGGTCGGGAGTCTTACGGGAGGAATGAAGACATTTGGCTGATTAAAACCTTTATATAAATATCATTAATTTCACTGTGCTTTTGGGTATATTTGTTTTACTTAACTTATGAACTTGTTTGAATTACTATTTTCGGCCATTTTCGGACTCCTGTTTGTCTTGGTTGTTCGTTTTCAGTTTTTTGCTCCAGGAATCTATTAAATAGAAGAACGACATTAGTCGTCTATTTGTAATAAACAAACAACATTTTGGTCGATTATTTGTGAATCGGCAATAATCCATGGTACCTACTTTGGAGTTTCGTTTTGATATAATCTTTGGGTTCGTGAATTGCAAATAGGTCGACACACAGTGTTTCTAAGGATCAAGGAGCGAAAAATTGTACGTAACACATAAATCAGGGTATATCTCAAAACTGTCGTTTCCAAAGACAATCTGGCGTAGCCATTAAAAGTTCTAGGCTGATTGAGCATGCTTGCATCACCTCTAGATGGACTAAAGATGGAAAATCCTCAAACTCGGAATATTTGTTAATAACTGGTCAGCTCTTGGTCGAGGATTTTTGCGTCCATACACTAATAGGATGTACTGACCAAGGCACAGTCAAGTTTAACATGTTCATAAGAGGAACACCCATGGAGAACAAAAACAAGTCCTACCTTTGCTACACTAAGGCAGATTACACGCGCATGAGAGAGCATCTTCTCCATCCCTCGGCCTTGGGAATGGTGGAAGCTAGCAGTGGATGATTACTGGCAAATAGTAAAGGACATCATCCATAATACTGTCCAAAACAATTTACTTCAGGCACAGCACGCACCTGAAAAGAGTAAACTTGGGTTAAGTGAGGCACAGAACGTTCGCAACAAGCGAAAAGGAGGACCTGGTACAAGTGCAGTGTCTCTCCGAAGGATCGTAACCGTAGTTCTAACTTGACATTGAGAAACAAATGCAATGCTAAAGTTCGAGATGACATGAAACACTTTCAGATCAAGCTAGCTGTAAAAATACAGGCAATCCTAAGTATCTGGTTAGGTTCAAGAAAGAAACTAGCGTGATTGCGATCTCAGTGGTACAAATGGCGAGGATCTTACCGATCTAGAAATGGCTAAGATTTTCAATACTAACTTCACCGATCAATTAAACCAAGTAACTTCACATTCAGAGTACTATTCAAACATTGTACCACATGATGGTGTACGGAATATTCGAATTACTGCTGACTAAGTATTGAGAAAATTAAAATCCTTTGCCTAAGAAAGTCACCAGGTAGCAACCATATTTGCCCTATAGTTTGACATCTTGCTCTGACTGAAAAATACCGGTGCACAAAATATTTATAAACTTTGCAAATGACTTCCACACAAGAAGCAACGGCACTTCTAATTTCGAAGGTTGCGGAGATGAGCTTCACTGGCCCACTCCTATGTAGGCATAGAAACTACAATGAAAATTGAAAGTTTTACACCAAGGTAAATACAGTGCACGCAAGCCAGAGTCTCGAAATCGGGAGATTCACAGAACATTTTAGTTCTATTCCTTTTCCTGATACTAATCAGTCATCTCTTAAACATAGTATGCTTGGCGGCAATCTATGCGGGAGATGCAAAGATCTGGAAGAACATCATAAGCGAAGAGGAATCGGCTGAGATTCATAAGGACCTTATATCTTCGGAGGAATAGGAAGTAAAAAACGGTTTAAAACTATACCGGTCGTAATATCACGTTATGAACAATGAGCCCCACGTAGCACAACCAACTTCCACCCTTGATTGTAGTCCTCCATCAAGTCTTTCTTCAGAGTGTAATATCGGCCTAATAAACACTGAAAGCCTCTACCACAGTTCGAACTATGTAGGAGACCCAAACAACGTTACTGCAAATCTTCACTTTATGAGAAAATAACATGGTGTTATCACCCCAGACTTATTCTTGACGTTGTTCAAGACATATGAGCGTTCACAACGTCGTCACACCCCCTTTCCTTAAAAGAGAAATAAATTTCTCGGATCAAGTGCATAGACGAGCAACGAAATCAGTGATACATTTCTAGGAATAAAACCTACGGACATGTTCTCCAGCACCTGAAATTATTCTCCCCGAGTTACAGGAGAATCAAAGGTAATCTGATAATCGCGTACAACACAATGAGCACTCCAAATTATCCAAACGCGAGCACCTTAACGAAGCATCACCACCACGCCCCTCGAGGTAATCCTCGGAAAATTGCGCATCAAAGAGCGAACATTCAGGTTCGTGCACAGTTATTATTAAAATTCATTTTAAATTGGAATACTTTTCCAGCCGATGTTATCACAGCCCCCTCAGCGGACTGCTTCCAGAATAGTCTTCACAAATACATACACTCAAACGGATTAGTATCTTCCTTTCATATTAGCTCTGCCCAACATATGTCTCGAAAATTGCTAGTAGCTATTATTGCCATCTCCTCAGATCACTAGTTTAATGTGTCTCGCCTATTATCTCTGTTTCCTTCCTTTGCTTAAACTTCGGTCCTCTCGCATAAGCTTCAGTACCATTAATAAACTTAATTATCCATTTATTTACTAAGTTCTGAAATCTTCTTCTTGCTAACATTAGACTTTTCTCCTTATTATTCTCCACAGTGCAACTAACTGACCACCGATATGCTAATGTGATATCTTCTGGTATCTAGAATTCCTAGTGCCTAGAAACAAACATATTCATTCAAGTCACAGGGTATGGAAACTCATAAACAACTACCAACTGATTAGAATTAGTGCAGTCGAGTGGCTAGACATCCATTCATTAGACACTACCAAATACCTGGAACCGTACCGAAAGAACGAGAATCGATGGCAAATAAAATGAACTGGTTTATACCAGTTGGAGTTTTTTGGTCGTTGTAGAGTTTTGTATTTTCAAGTCCCATATCCCTTATGGTATTTTTCATGAGAAATGCTTTCGACAATGAAAATTTTCTTTAAGGCATTGATGGTTAAGAACATGACTTATTAAAAATATGTTTAGTGAGCGTAATGTGCCTAATCAAGTAATCGTCGGTGCTCTGAGCGCAATAAATCCTTTTGAGCGAAATTGTAGTGGGCTCGTGTTTGCAAATATGTAATTGAAGATTTGCTTCTGTAAAATTAGTACTGATGAACATAAAATCAAAATCAGATGAACTATCTATAACAACATGAAAATTATTCGACATTTATACTAAGCATATATTGGAGATTGAGTAATGTCGACTGCCTAATAAGAAACTAGCGCTTCGTTAGTCTGTTAGGTGTTTTAATAGTGTTTTAGCTGCGAAGTTTGGTTTTTCGGATGCTATAATGAAGTTTTGTAACTAATAAACAAAATTATTTAGAATGCAGTATGTAGTCTGAGTACTGATTATGATCTATATGTAAATAACTAAATAGAGACTATAGGGTATTATCCTTGTATACTCTTGACACTACTAAAAGTAGCTAAGTGGTATCTCATGTTTACGTGTTACTGAAAGTTATGAAATGAAAGTACCAATCTACTGACAGTTCTTTACTCTCATAGCATCAATCGGATAACAGTTTCTTACAGACTTTCATATGAGCTGATTATTTTTCTAGTTAGGTACTGACTTTAGTTAAGAGATGAGAATATTAGTTCTGTGGGACCAAATGCATTTAGTTTTCTCAAAGTTCTTACTTTTAATGAGAGTCCTCAATTTAGTTCTCTATGAATACTCTTCTCCCCTATACTTTTTTATTCCTCTCAATAAAAAAACGCGTTTTGCAGCGTAGTGCAAAGAGGTCTGACATAACTAAAAATATAGGGATTCTAAGAGGTAAGGACAAATAATAAATTCCAAAGAGAGATATTAGTTCCACCAAGAGCCATATTTACTGTTTGCTCAATCATTAGAAAGTTAATATTCCATCACTAGTGTGCATAACATTTTTGTTCTCGTTCAGGGTACCGTTTGCCGTATGGCATTTCGCATATCATGTAATAGCTCACTGACTGAACTGTATTTACTTAGAGTGGGAACTGACTAGGTGACCCTGGTTTTTGAATAGTACTCCATCTATTTGTGTAAAGTAACCAGGTATGATCTTTATCCTTTGTAAATTATTTGACTAAACTAAGTACATTCATCACTTAATTTGCGTATTCATTGTACTTAAATCCATCGAAAAAGCAGACAAGTATGATGATCAGTGAAAATTTCCAAACTAGTTGATGTGCTGATTTACTAGGAGTGGAAAGTAGAGTAAAAATTATTTGGTAGTGGAATATTTAGATAAACATAAAAAAAACAGGTGAAAGAAATAGGATGTTATATACTGAGTGCCTCAAGTGAATCCACTTTACGTCAGTCAGCTCGTCCATCATTTGTTAAAAATTCAAGACATTTAAATTACCGACCTGATGGTAAAGCTTTTATCTGTCAATTAGTTAGGTGTTTGAGGCAATTGGGCAGTATTATTTTTATCCGTTGGGGCTTTGTGATAGAGTATTCTATACTTGGATGTAACCTTATATCCTGTTTTCTTTTTTTTTTAGTGGTTTCTTAAAAATAGCATCCAAGCATCAATAAGTTGATCCAGTTTGTACGTAACATCAGGCAATTATGTTGACGCATCCGAATACATATGTTTCTCATTAAATGGATAACCCACTTCGTCCATTATGCTTACACTTTTAGTTAAATATGTGCAGTTTAAAAGCAAACAAATTATATCAATTAACATTTATATATATATTTATAGTTACAGCAAATGAATACTTAATATGAGTATGTCCACTTACACTCCCTATGCATACAGTCGTCTATTTTCTGTGATACATTTATAATCCTTTCAATTGAATGCTAAAGCGCAAAGCTGTAAGGCGTTGTTCTGCACAGTATTATGTGACCGCTGAAGATCATGTGAAGAACGAAGTAAAACATGAAAAGCTTTTAACTGAAACTTCTCGATTATCATCTTCATGGGCTGGTCTAAGTGTTTCATGTAGTGAATCTAGTGATAGAGATTGTTCGTCGTCTTCTACATCTGTGAATAGCAGCCCTAATCATCGCCCAAGTTCTTTTAGTGGACCTTTGGTAATTTCTGTCACTTGTTCCTATCCTATCTGTCCCGGGATTAACAGCTGTGGTCCTTCCGTTACCTCTGGTCCTAGCAAGGAAGTTCTTTCGAGTCCTCGTCTTTCTCGACCATCCTCTTGCTATCCATCACCGGTCGCATCTCCTGTTTCTTCACGCGTCCAGTGTTACTCTCCTTCTTTACCAACTTCAACTGTTTCTCCCAATCCCCGTCGTTTTAGCAATACCGGTGGTGCAAGCCCTTTGCTTGTTTCAGCTGCGCTTGGACGTAAACGAGGTTATTTGTCTTGTGTTTCTGGGGGTGGGGGTTCTAGCGATGATGCTAGTCGTGAGGGATCACCAGAATCTTCATGCTGTCATAGAAATAACAAATCTACTTGTCAAAATGATGTCCGAATACACAGCAGTGGAACAAACTCATATACTGAATTCCCCTATTTCCGTTGGCCACCGATTTTACCTGTAGTATCAAGTCCTTCGAGCCCATCATGCCAACTTTTTTCTGTAACTACAAACTCCAGTAGCCCACCTTCTAATATTATGCGCCCATCTTCTGTTTCTCATTCTCCAGTACCGTCGGGCATCGTTTCATGTACGCGCTCTCCAAGCAACAATCCCTCTAATGCATTAAGTACAACAGAGATTACAAATTCTATGATGGACCTAGATGTTAAAAAGTGTTCCACTACAAATCAGTCACATGGATAGTAATTATCTCTTCACATCTTACTGTCTTAAATTGTAATAAGTACTCAGAATATCCCCTTCATAGGTATCAAACGTCTTAGTGTATATCTAAATCATCGCCTTCTTGAAACTTGTATCTACCTCTAGGGCTTTTATTTCTATTTTTTTTGAATTCTTCATAATTCACGACTTCTTGCTTTTCTTCTAATTCATTTTCACTAAATATTATACTGATACTTTGTATAGTTCAGCTCGAAATTTTTCTCTATCCCGATGGTCAATCACTTTTAGTATTTATGTTTATATTATGGCATATGGTAAATTTTTATAACCAGTGACTAACTAACGCTTAAAAAATTTCTATTTTTTCAAAACTTTTAGTTTTTTTTGTGACTAGTTTATTATTACTGAACGTTGATAAATATCGGTTTGATAGTTGAATATTTACCTTTTTTGATACTACTCATTAGAACGATCATATTGATTAAAAATTTCACACATTGTGTTTATTTGATTTAGCATAGATTAGTGGAGGAAGTATTGCATAATGTAAATGTAACTTAAACACAAATTGTAGTGTTTTCATTGATGAACTTGGTGTATTTCGTTGTAATATACGGTACACGCGCTTTCAAATTATCTCTTCATAGTCCTCTCTTTCAAAAGCAGCTGGAGATATTTTATTCTTTAAGATCTCGACTTTTGAAATTTAAAGTGTTTCGTACTAGTGGATTCCTTCGAATCGTAAAAATATTGCGTCATTGGAATGTCTGTAGATCTACCAATATGCATTTTAAGGAATTAAGTTTTGGATGGTTTTTTTACAAACTGCAATCAACGAGACAGTTCGGTACACTTTGTGAGAGTTGTCAAGTCAAAATGTAAGAGCGTCATACCCATTAATCATGTGTTATTAAGAATCTTTAATAATAACATTCATTTTTCTTGATATTAGACTAGATGTTTACTAAGGAAGTCCCAAATTCCATAGTTAATCTCTAAGTGGAAGTTGATTTGAGTCTCCGTTATTTATTTAGATTTTACTATCTATCACAATGTAAATATACTAGTAAAATTCTCGGTCTTCAATCTTCTAAGATTAATTCAAGCTGTTCTTACCAGAGAGGTACTCTGAGTTTGATATCTTTATGGTTTAGCTTGAAAAGCTGTTGTAACTGCTGTGCTGTTGCCTCCGTCAGTTAGTATTCAAAGATTAGACGAATGTTACAACCCTCAATCCAACTATTCCTTTAAATTGGACGAGTAATGTATTTTCTGAACATCACTGATAGTGAGGGAAGTCCTACGAATCTCATGTTTGTTCGCCGTCCTAGCTATGGTCTTAGATTCCACGAAGAAAGTAGCGTATAATTCCTCATACTCTGTGTATTTTTCTATAGTGGTAATTCAGTAAGTGTCAGCTCGTGTTAACTATCCTATTGTTTCTTAAAACTACATCTCGTGCAATTAAGTAAACCATTTCAATTAAACAACAGTTTCCAATCAATAAAATTGAGCATTCATGAAATACTTTTATTCACTACCCATAGCTATAGTTCTCGGTGCTTGATTTTTCGAGGTGTGAGAGTTGGGTCTAACTCCAGTGAATTAGTTAAAATCATTGGTTATCGCGATTCCCCAGAAAAGTTAGTGACCTTATAGAGGTACATGTGGAGGTATTAGTCTGGTTTTTGTTTGATTATCCTTATAGCCAACAGTAGTTTTCAACTTTACCGTCCAAAAGTAATGGAAGACTCAAGACTTTCGGATGTCCTAAATTAGAAATCCTGTACGCGTCAAGTTGGTACAAAACGCAAATTTGTTTTAAAAAAATATTTACCAACACTGGTTATGTTAATATCAATTTTGAAATTGAAGATAATGTCGAAATGGACAATGAATCCTTACTCTAGCTCTAATATTTACATAAAGACATGCAGTATACTTTTGATATCAGTTCATTATGACCACCCATTATTTTCATCTAATCGAATATGTTGTTTAAGCAGTCAATGCTTTTGTCTCACACTTCTCATTAATTGTTTCTTTTTTCATAATATATGATGGTGAGATAGTAACTTCAGCCCAAAATAATGACGTAGTACTAATGATTTTGAGTATTTATTTAGCACCTTACACATGCTAAGTTTCTGCAAAAAGGAGTAGCACATTTAAATCCACTGACCTTCCACCAATTTGTATGATTAACTGCATCGGGTCATTGTTATAGTGGAATAAAGAATACTATTAGTTCTGGTATTTTTCTCGTCCAACTACAGGTGAAGTGGAGACTTTATGGCAATGTTGTGCTATGTAAGAATACTGTCTGGGGCTGATATCTGTCACTTCACCATGACTCATTTTGAAGCTCAATGGCTCGACATCTGAGACACGACTCAGAATAGAATCAAGTTGAGATTATGTGGTAACTCTCTTATATACATTTCAAAAAAGTAATAGAAACCTTTGATTGGAATAAGTGTCATATTTTAACTAAACTGTCTCCTAATTTATACTGTTTATCGATTGTTAGTGTGTTGTTTCCTATTGTGATCTGTTTTCACCCTTTACCCCTCGGCAATATTATTTTGTTCGTGTAGTACACGCTTTGGTGCCCAATCATTCCAGATTGTAACTGTATTGATAAATAGCTGGAATAAATCACAAACCAACAGGTAATCGTGATATATTTTATATTCTCAAGTGAATTCAGTGATGGGAGGTGGTAGTTAGATGCAACCTACAGAAAACCCCAAACTTGGGTTTCATGCTATTCCGGTACTCGTCTGAAGAGTGTATCTGTAATCTTGAGACCAGTAAGGCTTGATTGGTGCCCATTATGTCAATGATCCATTTAGAAAGAAGCATTTTACTTCTACTGATTGTTTTTATCTTAAATTCTGTGCACATTAATCAGTGAATGAGTTTTTATTGAGTATACTGTTTAAAACAGCATACTGGCGGAATTCTGTAGCGGTTTCTAATTTCGACATAGTGATATATTTGCAGACTTTTTTCATGTTGAAAGAATAAAGAACAACTATTCACCTTAATTGTTTCATTAAATTATTCATGCCATAAACGGAAATAACATCCATAGTTATTGTCATCAAAACGATTTCATCTAGTGGGGGTGTGACAAAACAACTAATCCACTAGATTTTCAGTTCATATAATAATTAGGTGTCATAAAATTTATATATCGTATTCTCATCATGGATTCTAGCTTTATATTAACAGTAAAAGACGCTTAGACAAAAGCATTTCTTGTCAATATGTTCCTTCTTTTATCTTGTCAGTCTTTTTAAATAAAATTCGATCGATATTCTTTGAAAAATGACAATCTTCAGCCTGTCAGTGACTATTCATAATGTGGTGATTCGGAGTTGTGTGATAATTAATATCTGGCCGCAGAGACAGCGATGCAATAAGCTGTTTTATTCTTTTAACCACAACTTATATTCAATGATTGTTCTTCATCCCTGATATATTCAATTCAGGTTCTGTGAGGAATTGTCGGAAATATTTTCGTGTAAATTTTGTCACCACGAGTAGGGAATTAATTACTTAATAATATATGGTATCTTGTTTAGGAAAAGCCATGTTTATGTTTCATTTTTAACTCCAAATTTTGTACTATACTGATGCAAACACTCCAGTCATTGCCATAACTCCTTAAGAAAATTCTAGTCAAAACCAGTCGAAGACAGAACCCCATAGTTTGAACTGTTATGAATGATTAATTCTAAAACCAAATTATCAGACAGAGCAAATAAAAATGTTTTCAACTTTTAAATTCTCTGATGAATCTTATTGAGAACGGAAAAACCAGCCTAAATGTCTACTCACCTTATTTGACTTTCCCTAATTAATTGACTGAAATTGGGCGGAAGCAGAGAACTGAGTAGTGAAGTAGAAAGGTTTGTTTGATAAGTTCAATACATTGTCAGTGGATATAATTAATTAACTGATTATATAACGAAGTAATTTAATAAAAAATTATTAACAATTAAAGGCAATGTGGGTTGTGATATGAATGATATTTTTGGTATTGTTAGAGAGATGCGTCACACACTTCGAGTCACTACTACTATAAGGATTTTCTCGTTTCTAAGTGAAACAGCCCGACATAAGAACCCTGTCGGTAGACAGAGGTTTACGTATTTTGTCCAGTTTTCTAAACAACTAGATAAAATCTTATGATTAATTCAAATTATTACATGAACAAAATAGATCTTCTTAACAACACTATGTAGCCTAGGTTGAGTGTCAACTGTATTCAGTACTCAAAATCTTCCTAAGCAACATTGCGAACTTCAAAAAGGAACAGTTGCGTATAAGCGGAATAAAATCATCTGGACGGGTTTTTGTAATGACCACCATTAATCGTACTGCAGACGCTTTCATACATAGTGCCGATGTGTTATGAACCTTAACAGTGTAATCAACAGAATTTCACTCAGCGAGCTTGAATCTATGTTGGAACTAATTATTAATTAATATACGACTTCTAGTAATAATTTTGTGGTTTAAATGCATCATATTTGGTGAGAACTCTGAAAGTTCTTTTTGATGCTTGATAATTCTCAATGGTTCGCCAACTGTCACTTCGTAATTAAAATATGAATGTCAGTGGAGAAATTAATAAAGATAATTCATCGTCTCCAAGGTCAACGAGACAAGCTGGTAATTCATAAGAGCGAAGCGATTTACGTAAACCATCTTCTTTTAAATGAAATGTATGATTCTGTCCAGAAAACCGTTGTAGGAATTACGGTTATAACAGTCTACACAGTAATCCTCTAAATTATGATACAAATTACATTTTATTTTATTATCTATCGACTATAATGAACCTCAGGTTTTATGTTCTAAATATTGGAACAGTTTATTATACTAACGGATGTTAATTATGAGAACGCCGAAAAAATTTCGAATTGATAAGGTGCTTTTTGTCGTATAATATAAATATTCATATAGCATTTACTTACTTACGACTGTTACCCTCAATGGAGCATAGACCGCCGACCAGTTTTCTCCAACCAACTCGGTCTTGTGATTCGCCTGTAGAACCTTCAGGGCTATTGCCGATCCTAAGCCCGGATAAAGGAGGAGGGTTGGGCATGGGGTTGGCGACCCCATCTAACTTGCCAAAAAAGCGCTAACCAGAACAAATAGTATATAGTGGATTAATTCTTAATGTAACAGTTTCAGGCAACGATTTTATTATTCTTTCAATTTATTACTTTCTCCAGTAACTATTGACTCTAATTAAATGCAGACCGGGTTGTTTATATTGGCGAGCGATTAACGCAAAATACGAAAATGGATTTTTAGGAAATATATGGAGTGATCACTTGAAGAAAGCTTTTCAATTACAACACTAACATTCAGTTACTGATTCAGAATTCAAGAACCTCTAAATATTTTTCTTTCATAGACAACGTAATCAATCAAGTGATTGCTCAGAGAATTTTCATCCAACTAAATTTGTTTGTAAAACCGCTGTAAAATTGGAAATAAGGACAATGGTGATAAGATTACACTCTACTTTTCATTTCTTTGTTACAAAATAACGCTGAATGTTAGTGACGACTGTAAACAACATTTCCTATCCTTTCACTCACTCTAAATACGCACACCAGAAAAAGGTTTGTTCATTGATTCATCAATGTGTTTAATTTCACTCAAATGGTTTCTCTTTGAATTGGATATATTCAGTGAAAATTCTCAGGTAAATTAGAAAATACAATACAAATAAGACAGCATATGAAATTATACACAAAGACACAACATTTTGGTTTAAATACAATAATCTGTTTGATATTTTTGTGAGTTTTTTCTCTTCTCAAGCATCTGAAGGAAGGAATAAGGAAACAAGAAATAACACACGAAGAAAGAGATGACAGTGGAAGCACAAGAAGTAAGTAAGTTGGAGACGAAGATAAAGACAAGAGGCCTAAGGGAAGATAGAAAACTTAACACCAAAAAGCCACGAAACTGGACGCCGAAATAAGAACAAAAGACATATAAATACACAGTAAAAAGTGTGCATATTGAGACAGGGATACAGAAACAAAGCGAAGTAGAGAAAAGAGAACGGGAACGACAGAAATGGCACCGAAAAGGTTGGAATATGCAAGTGATCATGATGAAAAAAAAACAACAATTGGAGTATAAAAGAGATTCATTCTGTTTCAGTGTACTTATTTAAAAGCGAGTAATTATATATTATTCGAGTAAGGGAGAGAGAAGGGATGGCGACAGTGCTCATAAGGCAAGCCAGAAAATAAAACTGAATAATAACACAGCATAAAATATTTCTAGAAATTATTTCTTATTGAATTATGAAAATGAAAGAAACGGGGCAAGAGAAAAATAACTAAATCATTATGCGACATTATAACAAACAAACAAAAAAAAACAATTGTAAAATTCATTGGAAGTAAAATCAAAATGAAAACAAGCATATTTTTAGATACGGTTTGTTGGCCGTGAAATAGATATATAAGTCACGATATACATTGAAGTAACTGTATTTTTGCGTTTATGTAAAATCAACTGCTTCCAAGGTGAGTGTATGAACAGAGAAATAAACGTCGTGGCCAAAGACCAATCAAAGAAAGACATCAATCCATTGTTATAAGACAGACCGATTGAGCGGATTTTCATTACACACACACGCATACACACCCTTAAAACTTTACGAATCGATAATAGGAAGAAACCCAACTTAGCAGGGGTTTTATAGCATTGAGATAAATTAAAATGTGGAGTAGAATATTTTTGCCGAAAAGATAGGAAATTCATTAAAACAGAATGAAAATGATTTTTTACAGGAAAATAAAAGTATGCTTTCATTGAATAAATATTAGTTTATACGAATTGTTGACATATATATATATATATATATATATTACCACTAACCCCCTTTATGAGGTATAAGGACAATAAGTAGTAAATGTCTACATTAATAAATAAGAATATATAGGTAGTGAATAGAATTATTGTTGACTATTCCTATTTTCCTTTATACATAATAATCCCAAAGATTGATTTTTATAGTATTATTTTTAGTCACCTCGTTTTATTAAGTATACAATAATAATACACCCTATCCAATATCACCGAGACTGAATATGTGTACAAATATCATTAATTAACATATCTAACTGGATAAAAATTGTGACCAATTTGAAATTACAATTTATGAAGAAATGAACAATTAAAAGAAGAATGTAAAAGGTAAACATGCACCAATTACTCCTCGGTGAGCGTGCACATGTGTACAAAGATTTCTGTTAAGTAAAAAGCTAATTAGAATGCTGTCGCCAAATCACAGGTTTCACTTGTTTTATTTTGTTCGTTGTTCTGGTTATCATTTGTAGCACCACCCATCTATGAAAACATTTAAAAAAAAGAGTTGAAAATAAGATAGTCTCATTGATCGAATTATTATCATTATTATTTATGTGCTATAAATGACATAAAAATCCAATCACAGCACACATAAAATGAGGTGTATACACCAATAGCTAAACATAAGTGTATAATAATACGTGTACACACATGTATGTATGTATACATATGTATTCATATAATAATGTGCATTGTGCATCAACAGAAAGAAGAATACTAAAAATTCTCATTGTAATTTATTAATAAAACGTTTATACACACAGAAAAACTAAACCATGATGCAAAAAAATGCTTGTTATTAAGTGATAAATCTTAGTCCTGTTGTTTCAAATTATATATATATATATATATATATATTGAGTGAAATCTACAAAATCACAGCTATTACAGTGGTCACTGCAGGCTGTTGAATATTATAGATTAAACCATACGTTGATCATATTTAAGCATCGATTGTAAATCAAGGACTTGGCACCTGTTTCATCCTCGGGTTCCCCAGCAGTATGCACTCACAACCCTAATAGGGATCAAACTCAAGACCTTCAGATGTTCTGCAGTTACTGAGTTCATCCTTGTTGGATATATCTTAAAGAATATCTTCACTCATTAATAGAATTACATACAATCCATAATTACAAAATACCGAAAAGATCTGTATTCACCACAAACTAAAGCAGTGCAATAGCTAAAGGCTTAATAGATAGAAGTAATACTGTCAACTTTCTCTAACGATTCCAAATGCGTTCAAGCAGGTTGTCGTCGGAACCTAGAGAAATTTCTTCTAGTTCTCTGACTAAATTGGATTTACATTTAAGTTTCTTATTTAAAGTTGTACCGGCGTATTGAGCTGTGTAGCCAAACACTGTCCTTAACTTTTTGGATTTAATGAAACAACTTTACTTCAAGGTTAGGTCGTTTCATTTATCTCTGATTCTTATTCACTTTATTTTTAAAGGTTTTGTAAAGTTTTTTTTTGATTATGCAATCCATTCAAACAATTTTTGAATTATAGATAATTACTATCTCAGCCTCATTTTGTTTTTTATATCTACTTTCAAATGACCTAACACATCCACACAGATCGATAATCGTTGTCACTTCAAATGTCCAGTTATCAATGCTCATCATATAACATTAGTTTGTACTTCAATACAAATATGGTTATGAACACTTCACAGAAACCTACAAAATACAAATGAATTCATATTATTCTACATCAGCTGTTGTCCTTGCTTTCTATTCAGATTCATAAAGGGAACTAGTTAAACAGAGTACTTAACTGTTATAGCTTAAAATCAAATTTATTTAAGAGAATTCGTTTGAATGTCAAGATGAGAAGTTTTCTGAGCAACAAAGCAGCTATTGACCTCATGAATCGATCGATGTTAGACCGTTATTAGAAAGTCGGAAGCATTGGACAGCCGTTTCATCGCAGTATGCGATTCATCAGTTGTGCGCCCCCCACGAACCCGTAAATGGGAATCGAACCGAGAACCTACTGTATGGCACATGAACGGTAGCGGAATATCAGGAACTGATTGAAGTTAGACATTACCACCCTTGGATGATGGCTTAGTGATCAAGAGGTTAAGTGCTCGTATGCGAAACCATAGGTCCTGAGTACGATTTTCGCTTGTAGGGTTGTGGATGTGTACTGTTGATAAGTCCCAGACAAACACGAAACGGTTGTCGAGTGCTTCCAGGTTTCAAGTAGCGGTCTAACGTTGATCCACGATTTACAATGAAACTGAACAATCTCTGCAACCCTACGCTAACAGAGTATTCATTTTCAATGAAAAACTTGTTTGATTTCAAAGCTAGGGAATAATATAAGCCTATCTATAGCTCACACTATCCACACCAAACAGCTGACTAAGATTTCAGTCATTAGACTACTACCGTTTCATTCACGTATATTATATATCATTTCTGTAATATTTTTAGGTGAAGAGGAAAAAAATACCAGATGGCAATATTTGGAGAACATCATTCGAATTGTTTAATTAACTAACTATAAATATAATTCCAGAGGAAAAAATTCGGCTTGTCAGCACAAGTATTCTGGAAAGGTCAAAATCAAGCATAAATAAAATCAGTAACCTACATAGACTCAATTCACGAAACTTAATACACCGGTATTACGGCAACAACATGTCCAGTTAAAATGAAATTAACAGTTCCTAACCGATGCCTTGTATTATTGTAATACAACCAGTCAGCAACCACGTAGGACTTTGTACGTACGTACGTCAGTTAATTTTGCCATACCACTTGCCATTCAAGTCGACTGTAGATCATGAGTAACCGAAATGTGGCTGAAGATCAGTTGAATTGATCCCTAAAGTGTTCTGACCATCAATCCAATCTGCTTGACTGAGAATGAATAGCGAACCCATACTCTTCCGAGATAGTCTTAGTCACAGTAGAACTTCGAATTGCGGTTTCCTTGATATGTCTGAACAGTTGTTTACTGTTACCTATCACCACCGCCCTTTCCATATTTCTTGTTTTCGCTACCCACCACTGTTCGCAATCATTGCGTAGGCTTCTTACCAACCTGCTCTTAGGCTGACTTCGTTGAACAGTATTTCCTGAGGAACCTCAAAAGGAAGTTAGATTAGTGTTGGTTTCAGCGACCTGGGAGCCTGACCGCAGAGCCGAAAGAACAACTTGGGAGGTTTGTAAATTGGTAGTCCCGTTCTTCAAGTGGCCCTACCGCCGGAGACGGAAATCCATGAGTTAAGGTGGTGTGACATTTTTAGGGTCGACCTTTTTCAGTCCATTCCTTTCGTTGTGGAAGGGCAGCATCTCTGCAGATGCTGGTTGTCCGAGGGAAACACCTTACTGCTGTCACACCCGTCTAGTCACCAGTAGGACTTCGCCCTCAGACCTTGAGTTGCTGATTTTATTAGAACAGTGAGAAGACGTAACTGATCTGAAAAATGTGATGTATTTGCGCCATACATTTCTAACAATCCGGTCACACTTGTCAAGGCATTTTATATGACACACATATCACATTTTTCAGATGAATTAGGTCGACCACCACATCAAGGTAGCAGCTACGGTCGGAATTGTAATACATGTGAAGAATAAACTTCCTAAATAATTTTTAAACTAGAACACTTGAAACTACATAATATTACATATATATCCTCGACATTTAAAATTAGTATATATATTGTTCCGACCATACCTGTAAACTGGCATGAATTCTGCAATTATTATTTTCAGAATATATTATTATTTGTACCGATTATAATAATCCACTTTAATATCTGGTGCACATACGAGATTACTATTAGGACTGAAAGCACTTGAAAAAATCATACTATAACGTGAAAAAAGTAGGCACACAGATATGAATCAATCTGGAGTGTACAGAGTAAGAAACTTTACTTTATCACATCTGTTGGTCAGTCACGTGCATTAACAGTTCCGAAAGTGAAAAGTTATTAATTAATTCCGTAATGGTTAGCAGTAACTCACAGCGCAATATCAAGAAACAAGCAGTTACGCAAAATTAACTTATGATTATTCACAATCAAAGAACCACTTAGTTAGCTGATAAATTTGCAAAAAATTGCCATAATACGACAGTATTTTAAACACTTGACTAATAATAAGTGGATAGTAGATGCTGAAATTCACAAACAACATCTATATCGATTATTACAAATGAGTAATGCCTTTAGTTCATTGTTGATTATTTGTATCTAAACTTGATTAAGTTATGTCATTTCATCGGGTAAATTTGAGAATTACTCCATCTATGAAAGAAATGATCGAATAATTGAGTCATAAATAAAACTACTTATTCAACATCTTGTCCATCAATTATTAGATACATGTTTATATTTAACGTAAGACATTTACTCTAAACAGTAACCTTTGTCAATCGTCTAATGTTATTTATCATTAGTAAAATGGTCAATTGCATTATATGTAAGTTGATTTGAGTAGTGCAGCATCAACTAGTTTTCGTTTTGTGTTTATTTAATTCAACACTTGATTAAGAAATTACAGGATACTAATTGATAAACAGTACATTATTCAACAATTAGTTCACTTTGGTTGTTTCGTTTTATTGATGGTATATATTAAGAACTGAAATCGATCAGTTTTATTGAACATATGTACATTCTAAGAGAGTTGTTTCGATATGAACGCATAACCACAAGTTTTAGTAAAGGTGTGAGCGTCTTGTTACATGTGGGACTCATCAGCTAGATATACCTAAATCCCAATGTTGACGCAAACACATTTTCTCTGAATAATTAATATTAGGTACATTCATGTTGTGATAAGTAATCACAATTCTAGATAAAATTCAAGCATTTTAGAATTAGAACTTCAAAGTATGATAAGACTTGAAAGAGTAATTATTCTGAATTATGATTGTCTATTGATAAGTAACAGAAGCATGATTCCATTCGAAATTCTACGCGATCAGAATTATTGATCAACCGTTATTTTTTCCAGTCACTTGTACATAACATATGATCTGACACATATATGCATCGATTCAAGATGTCACACCACATCGGTACAGCAAGAAAAAAATAGTTCAAGATAATTTACAAAGTAGACAGATATCTCACACCAAGTAGAGCGAGCCGACCTATCTGAATCTACATCAGAATTTTGTCAAACACTAACCCATCAAGATTGATGAAACTGCCAAGACAAGTGGAGCAGTCAACATGCTCAACTACTTCACTATCCACTATTGATTCAGGCGCTGACACAAGCCGTAATGTTTAATAGCTGTTCTTTTTTTTCCACTTTCTACTTTCTCTGTTCATTCCTTTTTTTCATTTACCTTAATCTATAACATAAAATTCAATGATTTCCATTTATCAGTAAATCATAAAATTTCTAAACAGTGTTGAATAGCTAGGAAAATTGTATATCCTATATTTTTTACATGAAGTAAGAGTATAAATTACAAAGCTCTAGTGTTGCACATTTTATTAAATTTTAACAAGAAAAAATAAATCTGAATTGAATATCATTTACATTTTAAAACTATATGTAATTCAAGAGCTATTCTGTGGAACTAACTCAATCGCATAGGTGTCTGTGTGATTGAAATACACCAATCACGCAAAGCTATATATAAATGTACACACACACAGACAGAAAATAAGATTCAGATCAGCACATACAAAAATGTGTGTTTTTCTTACGTCTTTTTTTGTGTTGATCATAGATTATGTAAAATGTGTATAGATAGATAGATAGATACACAGGAGTTTATATTTGAATCTGCAAAAATTAAAAGTGTTGATATAACCAAAAAAAAGAATAATTAATTCTATGTACAAAAAATGTGATGAGCTTATTCTTCTTCTTTTTTTGAAACATCTCATAAAAAAAAAGATTTTCTCTTTCTGAGAGACAATATGACATAGACTATTGAATAAGGAGTCAGGTGAACATATTGATTAGGGTAACTCGAATAAATATCTTTTTAGAAAACAGTTTTAAAATTATTGAAAGTGAACTTTTTCTGGATGTTCTTTGTTCTATCGATTACTAGACATTACCACTATCCTTGAACAGTTATGATGAAATGACCTGTGGAACGTTTAATTGAATCCCTAATTCGTATCCTTAGTTGCTCAAGTCCAATAACCCAGTAACACATGCGTGTATACTTAGCTTTTTATGTCACATTAATTGTGTATCAGTACTAGGGAATGTCATAGCACTGATTATCTGTCTGCTAAAACCAAATTATATAGAAAGTGGTTTGGAATTATAACCCAAACGGATAAAGATTGAATAGTTAACCTTATTGTAACCTACGACTAGTATAAAATCGAATAGGAAGTGTGGATGACAGTTTATTTGAAAAATACTATCAGTGTAAGATAGTTAATTGATCATCTATTTATATGAAAATGTGTATGAATGTCTAATTTTAGAAAAATTGTATTAAATGATTTGTAATATTCAATATCACACAATCTTGATTTTGTAAATCTAGCTAACTTGAACAAGTTAATATCTACATCAGTAGCATACAACAATGTGTAAAACATCACTTTCTAGTCATCAATAAGAAATGATAACTTGCGAAGGGTGGCAGTTACAGGACATTCACTATAGTAAATCATCGTTTTTTCTTTCTGATTATTGTTTAATATAATAATTATAAATATCTAACAATCATAGGTATAGACTTTACGATCAATATAAAAATCCAGCAAATATATTTTATTTGACATGTCACATGTAGATGACCTTTTATTTTGTTGTTTGAAGTAGTAGACGTTCGTTATCGGGACTGAATAGAAGTTTCAAATGGATAATTTGTCAGAGGAAAGAGAGGTTATAAAATATTTTCAGAGGTCGTCGATAAAATACTTTTTTTTTAAGGAAACCCACTTCTTATCAGTAAGAAATGTTTGTAAGTTTCATACAGAAACTTTATACGATTTATTATATTCTGATAAGCTTAGCAAGTATCTTTTTCAAAAAATTAAATATTACACAATAATGGGTAAAAGTGTTATGTAAAATGATTCATTTTAAAGTTAATCATTACAGAATTATTGATTCTTAAGACTAAAGAAAATGCGATGAGGAGTGGAAATATGTAGTGTTAAAATATACTTATATCAATAGGAAGTGAATGCAGAGAAATAAAGAACATTAGATAATGGTGAAATTCATAGTAACATTTAAGCGAAAAATTGTAAATACATCATAGATGCTAGGATAATATATTCTTCATGCTTATCCTTGGTAATAAAACGACTTAGATGTATTGCGGGAAGCGTTTGTTTTGTTGAGGACTACTATGATGCTATATCAGGTGGTTTAAGATTTTATGAAAGAAAATTACACTTCAAATATCAATGTTCAATGAGATTGCTTCTTTTCAACAATTTGATGTATCCCTATCAATAATAAGTTATGATTGATGATCGCATAGATGGATCGTGTTCTATGGGTCGAAGTTTCGACAACTCTTGTAACAATAGTTTACTTTAGCATTTTATGATCATTATTATTCAAGTAGGGAAAAAGGTTACATTCGAAGCAGATTAGCTCAAGTCTAGAATTAATATATTTTTTAGCTTTCTACGTTGAATCTCAATTCTCTTTTGAATTAATAATCTATTAATCAGGTAATTCCAAAATAAGAAATTTACATTGATATCAATGGTAATCTCTCTGAAAATGTGTTAAACCCATGATGATGCATATTTCATATACAATCGTTGAATATGTAAAGTCAGTAAGACAATCAGCTACGTACACATGTGATAGTACAATAGCACAGATATAGAACTGTCAATTCAAACCCCACAAACGTAATAGAAGTGTTAGAGGCAATGCAAAAGATCACTTATGATCAAATATTAGTAACCTACGAATATTCTCGCGATTTACTGGACTTGTCTCACACCCATATGGTAAGACGGAGCTAACTAATGTTCAGTAAACTCGTCCTTTGGTTAGCATATTGATAATCTCGCCTACGCCATAAGTGATGCAAGTTGGCAAAAGCGAGTGGAGCTTTTTATATCCATGTCGAGATTTCATCACACAACAGGCCATCTGCATTGATGAGACTCCCAACATAAGTGGAGCCATCGACATGCTCAACTGCTTCACTCCCTATCACTAGTACACTAGTTCGATGCAACCCAATCCTGAAGCAACATTTCGCATTTTGAGGGGAGGAATCTCATTCTAAACATGCCTGCATTGTTGCTTAAGGTGGTCAGAAGACTTCATTTTTTCAGAGTCCTCGTCAAGTAAAACTACGTCATCAGCAAATTTTAAGTCAACCAATGAATCTTCCAGTAAAAGTCCAACCCTTGAAAAGTCAGACGAAGATAGTGTTATCGCTAAAAGCTGGTCTATGACAAAGCTGAATAATAATGGAGAAAGTGGTCAACCCTGACGGACACCGCTTGAAGAAATGAACTTCGATGACAGTTCGCCATAAGCTCTCAATCGACCAGTAGTGTTCGAGTAAAGAGCTTGTACACGGTTAATGTAATTCTCTGGTACTCGTTTCATTGAAACACTACCATAAAATCAACAGAGTTATATGCGGCTTTAAGGTCGAGAAACACAAGTATTGTGGGACGCTTGAAAATGTCTATGTTGTAGAAAATGACGTAGTGTGAATTAGTGGTCAATACATCAATGTCCAGGCGAAAAACCAGCTTGGTTTCCACGAGTCTCCTCTTCATGAGCTCTGGTTAGGTGTCGAAGTATTAATGAACCAATATCTTCATTATATTATTCGAACTGACTCCTCTGTGATCTTCACAAGAGGACTTCTGTCTTTTTGTGTAAACTGGGACAATCAGTGATTGAGAAAAGTCATTTCGGATTACGTCCAGTTCCCAACTTCTAAGATCTTAGTCAATTTCACTGATAAAACTGGACCACCAACCTTAAAATTCTCAGGGTTTAACCTATCACAGCCCGTTGCTCTCCATCGCTTCAGATTCCCTATAGCCTTCAACTTCAATAACAGTCGGAGGACACATATCCACTTGCCATTCAGGTCGACGGGAGATCGCGGTTAACCGAAATGTGACTGAAGATCAGTTGAATTGATCCCTAAAGTGTTCTGTCCATCGATCCAGTCTCCTTGATTGACAATGAATAGCGAACCTATCCTTTTCCGAGATAGTCTTTGCCACAGTCGGACTTCTAATTACGGTTTCCTTGACATATTTGAACAGTTGTCTACTGTTACTTATCACCACCGCCTTTTCCATCTTTCTTGCATTCGCCACCCACCACTATTATCGATCATTGCGTAGGCTTCTTATCAGCTTGCGATTAAGCTGACTGCGCTCCACATCATGTCTGGAGCCAGATGGGATGAGTTTTCGAGCATTCATCAGTTCGGTAGATGTTGTGTCCAGCGTTGGGATGACTTTGGGGGTCGTCTATCTTTCGCAGTCTTTACTGTCCCGTTTAGTCGGACAGCACACAGGCTACTGTCTACTGGAATCCAGTCTAATACAGCTACTTCTGCCCTAGGATTCAATGCTATTCTTGCACCAACCAGCAAGGTCAAGGGAAGCAGCAGCAGGACTTCCAGATAAATGCAGCGTAAACAGAGTTGGTTCTTTATTTAGACTAAATGAAGTCAAATCAATGATTCTACGCCGATCCTGTATGCGCGTTTCGAAGACGCGATATACGTCGATGGCATGAGATTCTAAAGTTCTAGCTAAGGAAGCTTGTTTTCCTTTTTGACAAAAGGCCCGAACATTAAAAGCTGGGACATGTAATTTAGAGTGGGATTTCAGGAGACGGAAGTCTGCGAAGTGAGGTAATATGTGCCATTTTTAGGGTCGACCTTTTCCAACCGCTTCTTTTCGTCGTGAGGAGGCGGCATCGCTGCAGATACTGGTTGTCTGAGGGAAACACCTTACTGCTGTCACACCCGTCTACAGTCAGCAGCTTGATATCGCTCTCAGACCTTGAGTTACTGATTTTAGTCTTACCGTTTTTCAATCGGCCTGCCTGGCATAGTAGGACATAAAGGAAGATATGTTTCAGCCGATATAGTTCGGTTGGGTCATCATGATAGGCCAACCCGACCATCACATCAAGGTAGCAGCTATAGTGAGGTAATATGTAAGGTGTTACTGTAAATACAACTCGATTCGGCCAACGAAGTATTAGACCAGTCATTTTTGACTATACAGTAAAGTAAATATACAGACATTTAACGTGTTATATACACGTAATAAATTAAACTTCAGATATACGAGATTTCAGTTTTTAAATAATCGTGAATTATTTATGAAGATGTAGAGAAAAATCAAGCGAACTGAGTTAAGTGCAAATGACTACTACAGTTTCTGTTCGCTAATTGTTAATATTACTGTTACTGTATGAGAAATATATTAATAATACGTAATAAAAGGAATACAATTGTAGTTTATGAACAGAAATAGCAAGAGGACTTACTTCGTCTGATGACTGACGATCGTCTATTTTAAGTCCAGTAAAATCAACAGATGATGGACGTGGTATGTACTGCTTAACTTCTGATAATGGCAATGACATTGATGGAGATTTTATTGAAGTAACGTCTTCAACTTCAATTGCGGCTTGTGTGTAAGGATTATTATTATTATTACTGCTTATAACAGTTGTAGTATTATTACTATTATCACTAAGGTGATTATCAGCTGATGAAACAAACTGCATTTTTGATATTCTATCAGGTAATAGCTGGTTTTCATCATAAAGTTTATATTCCATTTCATGTTGATGATCATATTTACTTGTATCAGCATCACCATCGCTGTCATCATCATCATCGTCATCGTCATCACCATTGTTGTAATCATCCCAAATAGTTGATTTCATTGGAAAAGTTTTAGGCCTCTCCATAATTGGTAAACTTGATGGCGGTATACGCACTAAGGGATAACACGATATATGCGATCTGGGTACAAGGCCTCGTTGACCTTCAGAATTTTCAGCTAACATCCATTCTACTTCACCAGGTGGTTCACGGTCAACTATGGTGAGGATTTCATTTGGTTTAAGTGGCAGTTCATCTGATTCTAAATGAGCATCTATGGAACCTGGTCCAGCTGCTTCTATTCCACGAGGAAAAAGCGCATAAACTCGACCAGATGCGGCAGACCCAAGACGTTCATGTTGGACTGAATGTTTTTTCAAGAAAAAATTTAAAAAAAGTAACTTAGCAAACTGCGGTAGACCCTTTTTAAAAAAATTTAATAACCCAAAAGATATACGTTTCAACTAAGAACTACAACCTACTGAAGTAGGTTGGAAGAAAGCTAGGGGCGGCCAAACCAAAACATGGCACAAATCCACGAAATCACTGACAAGTGGACTGAGTCATGTTGGTAGATGTAGGCTACCTGGTTGGGGTCCGCAAGACATAAGTCACCAATGGTTAGAGACTTTGAATGACATGGCTAAAAATCGTTTGGAATGGCACAGGTGCATCCACTCTTTGTATTCTCTCTAATTATAACCTTCTGAATTCCTCATAATCTCTATCTTTCTCCTTCTAACTTTATCTCACTGAATTATCTTCGAACCCTAATCTTCTCCATTCTCGCTTACACTTCTACTATCGCTACCACTATGTGATTTGAACTGACAGTTTTGTCTCTGTGCTAATGCGGTATGGAAACCTGAAAGGATGTACATACGTACGAAGTTCCGTGTTGTATCTGTCTGTCTGACATCCTACTGGATAACGAAGAACTTACATAGTTTTTTACTGGGAACATTAAAACTTTTCAACAAAATAATAAATTAATTTTTTAAAATAAATATCTGAAAAAATCATGTACTCGAAATGGCAAATTGAATACAATAATATCGAATCAACTAATTAAAAAAGAATAGAAAGATAGTTGTGCAATATTGTGAACTGTAGCACACTGTTGACGAGATCCATACTAAAACGGAGTAGCTGTCTTATTCTTTTAGGTTTTCAACGGTGATCTAGTTAAGATCATTTCGTGATTTAAACTATGAAAACATAAGGTGTGTTAGTGATGATAATGATGATCATTCATTTAATTTAATTTTTATTCAGTTTAGGGAGACCATCTATGATTAGAATTACTTTATCAAATAATCCAGGAAATCTTTAATTCATTGACATAAATCCTTTTTTTTCTGTTTTAAAGGTAATTTTAGTGTGAAAGTATTTGTACTTTGTTAATGTGTATTATTAACAATATATAATGCATTTTTATGACTGAGGTTATCTGCAACAGTTTCACTACTCAGAAGTACTTTTATGTTCTTTCAGTTAGCTAGTGTCATTTCAAGAACTAATCCTAATTATATTACTGATTATCATCCAGAATGCTTTGTAGCGATACACTGAAATGTTCATTGTAGAGGGTTGCAGATAACTATCCATATGCTTGAAATGAAATGTTCGATGGAAACTATATTTCAAAATCCAGCACTTATTCACTAAATAAGTGGGAAAAAAAGCCCGTAACTTCTAAACACAGCATACCCATTGAATATTGAAAACGTTGTGAATAATCGCAGCCGGTTTAACACAAAATTCTAACTGTAGTTTGTTAGATGACAAACGATTTTTGAGATAAGTCTTATAAAGGCTTTTGAACAAAAACTCAACTGACATTGAGATATCAGCGATTAAGATAAACAGACACAAACACTGATGCATATAAACACTGAACTTTTTTTTAATAAAACATGATGATTCATGCATACTGTGAAGCTCAGACAATGATTTACATTAAGTTCGGAAAGTTATTTGACCTTTGAAGTATATATATATATATATATATATATATATATATATATATATATATATATATATGGTGTGAATTAAAAATCTTGGTAATGTATGATGAGACATAGTCTATATATTGAAGTCATCAATCAAAACCCATAGTAAAAATTGAAGAAACACTGATGGTTAGATTTAGGTTGATAAATGCCTCGAATTAACTTACTGATCAGGATCGGCTATCCCAGTGGGTTTTTTATACAGAGAAAAACTAGTGGAAGACTTTGACCATTAGAAAGAAATCTCCTGTCTTCCTACTATTAACTTGTAACATTACCTAGTGTAATGTGTAGTTACGTAATCTATTTGATTGTGATTATTGACTCACAAATTGTCTTGATTAGTTTAATATTTTCATACAAATATTCATGTATATCAAGATAACAGTTTGATGAGAAACTAATTGAAAACAATATGGTTCACTTATATGCGTTGTTCTCATATTCACAATGGTAATCTTTAATAACTATTAAGTAACAAATATCTACTACCCGATTGGTTAATGAACATTTTGCTTACAGGAACAATCAAGCAATTAAACCTTTGCATTTCAGCACAGAAAATGGTAACTGAAAGTCACTGGTTCAAATACATATGCTACAATGTCTGTTTTCTTCTTACATACCCAGATCATTTAAACGATTTCTATGAATATGAATAACTCTGGAAAATACAATCTGTTAGAATCAAACCACCAACTTTAGTTGTGAAAATAAAGATGAGGATTGAAAAAATTGTTGACATTTTTTCTAAATATTGTTGAGAGAGCATTGTAAAAAATAAATTGGATAATAATTTTAATCAAAAAGTAATATTAATCATAAATTTATACTTTTAGTTTCGTTTCGTTCATTTGTACTATGTAAACTTGGGCTAATTTAATTCGTTTGTTTATTGTCTGAAGAAACGGTTCAGACTGGAGGTATAAAACATCAGAAAAAAGAAATCTTAACTTTTCTGCACATTGGAATACTACTACTTTTTTTTAATTATTAACCATCCATCTAATGCTCAATTTATTTTAAATTATCAAGTCAATCCTTGGTAAATAAGTTATAGTTTAACTTGCTAATAAAAACAATGGTTGTTCAAGTAAGAGTTGACTGAGTATTTTAAAACAAAGACAATTATAAAGCTATGGATATGAGAACAACCTATCCGCATATAAATATACTACTTACAATAAAGATATTCTTCACATTCAGCTTCTTCTTCGCCTTGATCACACTTTTCCAAAGGAGTTTCCTGATCCGATAAAGTACGAGCGTGCAATGAAGCACCATGTTCAACTAGTAATTTAGCCAACGGAACATTTCCACAAGATGCAGCACAATGCAGCGGTGTCCAACCATCGGTATCACCTGCATTTACATCAGCACCAGCTGTAAGTACAAGAAATTCAGCTACATCCACACGACCAGCACATACGGCATTATGTAATGCTGTAATACCTTCGTCATTTGACTCAGAAACATCGGTTACCTATTTTTAAATAGAAAATAAAACATATGACGGTTACATAACTAAAAAAAAGAAGTGAATGACCCCCCATTTAAACAATAACACAACTAATAATATTAATAGTAATATGTAACGATAAGAAAAACATTTGAAAATGTTGCGTACAATAAGCATCAAATCTGGTTTAACAAAGAGTGATCATGAAAGTTAACAGTACAAATGATTTTTTCATTCTTTTAAATAATTAGTAAACATATAAAAAAGAAGTTTATATTCTGTTAATTCTCTTACATTTAAAAAAAAACACATCACTAATATCATGATTATTGACTAAATTGTAGATTATATTTGATAATCTGAAAAAGATTGAACTCACCTCAGAAGCTGCTTTTTTCACTAATTCCAAATCACCTTCTAATGCAGCATCAAGCAATAAAGCTAATGGATGAAATCGTACAGAATTTGATCGACCTAATGACGATGTTAATGATTGAGTTGGTTCAGTGAGACCATCTAAACTGGAACTTTGTTTTGTAGTTGATGGTGATGAAAATGATTTTGATTTACGTAGAATAGATTTAACTTGTTGTCTTTTAATGTAATCACCTAAAATACAATAGTTTTTTTTTTTAAGAAAAAAACAAGATGAATGAGTAAAATAAGTTAATCCAATAACAAAAAAAAGAATGAATGGAAACTTATTTTTTTAACAATATTAACAGAAGACCATAAACTAAGATTCAATATAAACTATTGACAGACAGAGAATATAATGCATACTAATTGATATCATATTGACAACGTTACATAAATAGTGAATCAAATGTAGGATGAATAAAATAAAACAAACATTTCGTTAGAACAGATGTTTCACATAACTATTTACAATAGTTAATAGTTATTCAAATGATAGATACGCAGATGTTTGTACTTCATACTAATAGCTAAACATGTCAAATTTCTTTATCTTGTTTTTAAATGATTAGAATAAAACAAGTAGAGCAGTCGACTGATTTTAAAATTTGAGTCAGTCAGTCATCATCAACATAAAAACTGGTATAAATGTCTATAAGTCCAATTCTCCATACTACATTATGTAGATAACATAAAATTAACAAGGTAAATAGCAAGCAGTATCAATGATAGTGAGAATAAAAAAAAAACACTTCAGAAAGAAGGCATGAATGCCAAGAATAAAAACTATCAAATACTATTGAAACTCAAGGGTTAAAAGAAGATGAAGCGTGAATACATTTCCCACTGAGGTAGGTTGGAAGCCATCCGTATCAAACAACGTCTCCAAACAGTGATTGCATCAAGTAAGCAATGATGCGGTGCGGGAAAAGGGTACTTAGTAAGGATGGGAAATCAATTGATGTAGTAGTGAATTTTCATCAGTTGATGTAGTTGGGACATGTGTTACATATGCGCAACCATCGACTGCCTCGTCGAGCGATGTTATGTGGTGTAAGAGTAGGCTAGGAGAAATCCATAAAGTCACTGAGCCATGTTAATAGGTGTGGATAGACTACCAGGTTGGTGTCCGTGAGACAATGGTAACCGATGATTAGAGACTTTTGATGACTTGGCCTAAAATCGTTGGCAGTGGCGCAGATGCTTCTTTCGTTTGTGTTCGCTCAAATTCTAATCTTTCGAATTCCTCACGGCTTTTTTTCACTTTTTTTATCGATTCCTCTGGGGCATACATCTCGAATGATATATTCTATTATTAATCCTTTTCATTACTGCCAATACTTCTAATACTATGGGATTTGTAATGACAATTATATCTATGCGCTAATGTGGCATGGTAACTTAAACTGATGTACGTACGAATTTCTATGTTGTAACTGACTGACTGACCTAAATCAGATTTTATAACTGAAACTTCCATAATTTATCATACAAGTTACAGAGTTGATAAACTTTCTTAAGAAAAAAACTCAACAAATCGCCCCAACTCAAAATAATACACAAAGCGATAATATTGACAATACTATGAAGTTGATCTTTTCAATGAATAATATTCAACGAAATGTTAAAAAGTGATGAAAATGCTAATTTATTTATTGTCTGAAGAAGCGGTTCACATAAGAGTTACAAAACATCTGAAAAAAGAAATCTTAATCTTTTTTAGTTCATTGTGATACTACAAATATATTATATATTTTTTGATGAATAACAATCCATCCAATGTTCAAATTATTTCAAATGATCAAGTCAAACCTTGATAATAATAATAATACTTACACAACAAGAGAACTATTGACATCTATTATATTTTAATGAAAGTGATATTTTTATTGAACATATAAACATCAACTATGATTATTTAGATAAAAGATGAGTTTTATGTGACTAAGAGTCACGTGTATTGAGAAAAATATTTAAAAGTGCACATAACATAACACAAAATAAAATTGAGATTGAATTTAAATTCATAATATAAGCCAATAAAATAATGTCAAGTTACAATTAACTACGATTGATGTATAAAGCTCATATTACATCGGTAGTAAGTTTGTAATAATTAATTACTTAGTAATCTTACTGAACATGAGATTTTAGCATTTGAAAGCCAATTCAAAGAACTTTGAAGAAATTTCCTTATTTAAATTAAGTAAATCTATAAGAGAACCAATTTACAAAGTCACAAATGTAAATATTTTAACAAAGTATGTACCTTTAGGGTTCCGTTGAGTACTAAAACATGCTAATAACATCTGTAAAAGTGTCATTTCAGTCAATCAAAGACTAAGATATACATACGTGATAATAAGTCTTGAAAGATAGCAAGAAAAAGTTAAGAACCTATCAATTTTAAATGGTTGTCTGAATATTGTATCAAACAAAGAAACCAACAAATAATTGATCAATACCAAGAAGACAATGTTTTTTTTCTACAAAAAGTACGTTGGACAATGAAACATGAAGTAGAATTACTTTCCCATTTGAATAAAACCTTAGTTTGAGACTTCCTAGCAATGAGAACCCCCGGTCCTAAATCAAACCTCACCTTTATGATGCCTAACGTACAGAATATCATCTGATAAACAAGTAGAATTCTAAGACGTTTCATATTATCAACATCAGTAAATCTGTTTCATAAAGTTTAATTCTCATCCAACTTCAGTGATGAATTGCTGATTCACTTCCAATATACATAGATAATTTCTTTAAAATCTACTAGTCGACAATTATCACATATTGATTATTAATTTAGGTGATTCATAGAAGCTTTTTCATATATTTTGAAAATTATTGGTTCAAACACATGTATGTATGTAGTCATAGGTTTACATTTGTGAAAATTTCCAAGTTGAGATGAAATAATGCAAATTGGGCTTCTAACAACTTTCCAGATAAGATCCAGTTTATGATAAAACCTATATTCGTAACATGTACAAGAATCTTTACAAACAACCTAATTTAATATTTTAAAGTAGGTGAAATTTTGAAAAGAGCGGAATGTCACCACTATTTAAATTCTCAAACTGCACATCGGTATCTAGTTGATAGACCACTATTTAAACCAGTAAAAACAAATTTCAAAAGAAAGAACATTTTACCGCACTAATTTAGAGGCAGATATTGACCTTTTGAAAAATGACCTGAAAAAAAATTGACTTATCTATAAACTAAACAATAAATTCTCATTAATATCTAAAAAGAAATAAATCCAATGGATAACACTAACGATAATCAAGTATATATATATACATATATATATATATATGCAATCACACACAAACATTAACATTGGCTTACTAGCGATCACTGAAATCAAAAAGTATATATCATATTCATTACTAATATTCAGTGTAATTAGTTTACAATGTTTATCAACCGATAATTTATGTATTTAGACGGTATTATTGAAGAGAAAATTAGAGATAATCAGATAATGACGCATAATTCAAGATCATTAATTAAAGTTTATTTTAAACTGATGATATCTTGTTTATGTTTTCAATTAAATTTCTAAGGAGAGAAGATTTGTTTTAACTAAGTTTTTATCATGATCCTCTATACTGATAAATGATTTTTATCAGTGAATATGAAATTAATATCAGTTATATGGTTATGCATTGAACAAGATAGAATTTTAGCATTGGTACGTGAATTCCAAATGAACTACAGAATCTATCTATCATACGGTTTACTAAATAGTCATATGGTGAAAGAGGGGAAAAGAGTGGTATTATTCTATTTTCCAAATGTTGTGTTACTGTGGTTAGGTGGGATAATAAAACGAAGTCTGTATTCAAACTTATTATATTATCAAGTGAGTGTACTCGTTTAGTGAACTTTGTTCCACTACAACAGAAATGAAGTCTAGTTATGTATATTTAATTTATAGAGCTAAAACTACTATTTACCATTATTCTAACCAAAGTTTTAAATGATCTGTGATCCACTTAGTAAAAAGTAGATACCAAATTAACTATTATAAAACGGTTTAGATAAGTAAAATAAATAGCATTTCTAACTACTTTTACTCCGATGATCATATTACAACGATGTGAAGACGATCACAGAAATAAGTTTGTGATGTGTACGTACAAAACGAATATCACAAATAGTATCAGTTAATCTCCATACAACAAGATCATTTACTTGTAACGGTAAGGCATAAATACTTAGATGAAATTACCTACTTATGAGACTAGAAATCATCTATATAAAAAAAAACTCACAAGAGTTATTATTCACACTGCCATTCACTCCATGTTCTTCGTCCACATAAACCATAATTCCTGAAGAAATTTCTTTTTTGTTGACCTCGCCACGTTGAACAATAGCAGTGGTGATAATTGAAGGAGAAGTTACACTGACGGTAGTATGGTTAGCAGCAGTAGTTGTATTTATTATTGTAGTTTCAGGTGTCATAATTGTTGTCATCTGTGAAATAGGTGTTGATTTCTTAATCTGTGATTGTTGGTGCTCTGATTTGACAGTATGATCAGAACCGCCTAGACCACTATCTACATCACCAGAATTTTGTTGTTTCTGATCATCTTCAGGCGAATCGAATTCATTGGATAATAACGATAATTTATGTTCATCATCCGGTTGCATATCTATACCAATTAGTTCTAGTGAAGATGAGGAAGATGACGATGAAATGGATGGAGATGATGGAGGTAAATCAGTAGATGGATGAATAGAAGTGCGAACATTTTGATCTGATGCTTTGTTGCTATTTTCATTAGTGATTACAGCTGGCTCATATGCTTTGTTAAGACGATATTGAGGATGATATATTACAGAAGAATAGGAGATTTTTTCAGGAGATTCGGCTTGCTTCACAATCTGTTCATTCATTTTCATTGAATTTATGGTACATGTTTGTTGCTGTTGGTTTTCAGATATAGCTGAATCACTCGACCATTCAGAAGACGGCATCGTTGGTGTGGCTGTTTGAAGTGATGGAGACGGTGATTTCGCATTTAATTTGTTTACACTAGCTAAATAAATTTCACTAGCTGTACGCTTGTATTTTTCAACACTATCACGACATATACGACGCATATATGTATCATTAATTACAGCACGAGATGCATATCTCGGTGGAGCTTTAATACGTGGCATAGGTAGTGGGTGAATTGGAGCAGGTGATAGTACATTATCTTTATTATTAATGCAACTATTATTGCTATTGGTAGTTGTATTTGGGCTCCAAATACTATAACCGGGATGTAACTGCATGAATGTGCGAAAACATGATCGACGACTAGATGTAGGTGGGCTACTAGCTCGTGTAAGCACTGAACTAAAGGCAGTGTTTGGTGTTGTCGCATTATCAATTGTTGTTGCTGGCGTTCTTGATATAACAGGAGTCGAATGGGAAATCGGAATATGTGGAAAGACAGTAGAAGAAGGAGGGGGAGAATGACCATCATGAACATTTGGACTTTGATCATTTAGCCTATTTTATGAATAAAAAAAATATAGAAACATTAATGAATAATGGGCTTTTTCTTAAACAGATAAAATAATGAGTGACAATACTTCAGGCATCTTTTCGCTTAGGACAATTAACTGATCGAATACTAACGATGTGATAAAAAAAATACTAGAAAATAGATTGTCAAGGAAATGAATGGAAATAGAAATTACCAAGTTTAACATGATAGGCGAAAGCAATGTAAGTAAAAGATACTAAGCAATATCGAATGTGCCTAGTCTTCAAAACTACTTAAATATTATCAAGCACATTGTATCGAACGCAGATGCTAACACTGATATGGTGGTTAGGCGTGCATACATTGGCTACAGTGGCTCAGATACTTGTTCTTTTAGATCCTAGCATGTCGGGTAGGTTGACTGGAAGACTATATGATTAGTAGCAACAGAGCCATAGTCCAAGTGCGAAGTTTAACAATCGACTATACAAGGATGTGATGGCAGTAAGATGTCTTCCTTAGACAACTTGCACCCACAGAGATGTTGTTCGTGCACGAGGAAAGGAGGGGATCGGAGGGAGGATGTTACTTTCCGGTTGCCTACATCGTGGAAGGATATTTCTTGAGGAATCTGAAAAGGAAGTTAGATTAGTGTTGGTCTTAGAGACCTGGGTGCGTGACCGCAGGACCTAAGGGATAACTGCTCGAGGCCGGTCATGCACGACACTTTAACGGGGAGATATGAAGTGTTAGCTCTGCTCGTCAAAAGGCTTTATCACTGAAAACGGAAGTCCATGGGTCAAGGTGATGTGTGACATTTTTAGGGTTGACCTTTTCGAACTACTTCTTTCTGTTGCGAGAAGGTAGCGTCGCTGTAGATGCTGATTGTTCGAGGGAAACACCTTGTTGCTGTCACAGCCCTCTACACTGAGCAGTACGTCCTCACTCTCAGACCTTAAGTTGTTGCTTTTAGTCTTAACGTTTTACAATCGACCTGCCTGGGATGTTAGAACCTAAAGGAACACACATCACAGCCAGTATAGCTCAAGTGGATCATTACGATAGGCAGTTTCGACCACCTTGTCAAGGTAGCAGTCTACAGTCAGGATGAGTAATAATACTCTCAGGAGAGAATAAAATCTAAATGTACGGAAAGAACTAATTTATGCAAAGTTAGCATACATTAATGATTGCCCCATTGCCCACAAAGACACGATTATCAGTTGCGAGTATTCTTTCAAAACTATTGACTAAAATAAAGTCGATAGTGAACCAAAACTCTATCTTTTGTAGGGTATGCCATCTGTGCTTTCTATTTATCATAAAATTAAGTAAATACATGTGAACCACAATGAGTAACAAATAGTCGGATTATTTTTTACTGGTTAAGTTTAAGCTAATGGTATTTAATGTTGAAATAAATTGGCCAATGTTAGTCATTTTTTATTTTATATTTTAAGAAATAAAATAAAATAATCAAACTAGATGAAACTAAACAAGTATTTTTATTATCAATAATGTACTTTTTAAAATTTTATGCAGTTTTATATTCTTCGAAAAAATCGTAATCTAAAAGACTGTTTTGACCGGACATAAGAACACATTAACTATTAAATATATGAAGTGTAGTAGTAAAAAAAGCGTTTCATATTGTATTGACCTTCCTATAATTTCAAATGTAGTTAATAATATATAGTTTTAAAAGACTGCATACTTGAGAAACAGTTTTTTTAACAACTATGAGAATGGTAAATAAATCATACATTAATTGTTAAGTTTGTACAATGTACAAGTCATATCAAAAGCTTATTGAATTATTTGCATCATGTGAAAATAATAATAATAATGCAATACACTTATTAATAAAAAGTTTATATTTTCAGCTATGAACCATCAAACATTTTAACTGATATCTAACTATATTGATATTAGTCGACTGCATAAAATGATTTTTTTTTTGAAGTAGGACTCGAACTTATGAGTGAATGTTTGAACTAATTAGTGACATCATATCCCCCAGAGATAAAACAAAATCGTTGTGGAAGCTAATTATGATTATTAAAACAGTTTTGTAAAAATTACCTTGACAATGATACAGCAAAAAGATCTAACGTAAATAAAACCAGAACTGTAAACATTTCAAAAAATGAGGTGATAAATAAACCTGTTGTTGTAACTAAATCAAATGGTTTTTGCTGAGTTCAATCTTTAGTAGCCATTTCACTGAATTGAATATATGTATTACTGATATCGTCCAAAGAGATTATTTCTTTGTTTAATCTACTTATTCATCATAGTAATATTGTGTTTTCTGAGCTAGATGGCTTAACAAAGGATATTTTATTGTCATTCTGGACAACATCTTCAGTTTTTACTTCATGTAATATAAATAACTTCTAGTTCACTGATAAATTATATTATTGAGACTAAAAATAAACTGTTACTGAGATATTAAATTTTATTCCTGATAATTTACTTGTTATCAGTCTTCGGAAAAATGGATTTGAGAAATTTCAAGTGATTGGATCATTGAAAAGTACACAACTAAATAAAATAGGTACTGAAATGGAATCTTTTTTAAAAAAATAACATCGGATGAAGTATTATAACTTTGAGATGAGTCAGAGGTACTAGGGGGTGTGGGAAGGATTTGATTTTGACCAATTTGGTCTCGCGTGCTGTTACGGGTATGAGGGCGGTTGTCACTTCCCGGCTGCCCACACCGTGGAAGGTTGTTTCTTGAGGGACCTGAAAAGGAAGATAGATTAGTGTTGGTGCGTGACCGCAGAGCCCAAGGGACAACTGCTTGAGGCCGGTCACGCACGGCCTTTTTATGAAATGTTTTTTGAGGATTAGCTCCGTTCTTAAAGGCCCTTAGTGGGCACCCTTACCCAAGGAGACGGAAATCCGTGAGTTAGGGGAGGTGTGACATTTTTAGGGCCGACCTTTTCTAACCCTTCCTTCCTTGTGAGAAGGCAGCATCGCTGCAGACGCTGGTTGTCCGAGGGAAACACCTTACTGCTGTCACACCCCTCTGCAGTCAGCAGTACGACTTCGCCCTCAGACCTTGGGTAGCTGCTTTTAGTCTCATCGTTCTCCAATCGACCTGCCCGGCATGGTAGGACCTTCAGGAACATATCTTCCAGCCAGTATAGCTCGGTTGGGTCATCACGATAGGCAAGCCCGACCACCACGTCAAGGTAGCAGCTACGGTCGGGACTTTGAGATGAATAGCTATATATATAATATATATGGTAAACAGACTTATACATAGGATGACCTCGATTTCCTCAACTAACAGATTTCCAAAGCTGATATAAAACAAATGAATTACCATTTAAAGTTTACATAAATATGTTGTTCTTCTTGATCTATGATTTTGATACTATTCGCACATGGATATATTACAGTTAAATTTTGCATCTACAAATTACACACTTTTAGCGTTACTCATTTCGCATAGTAGTTCTACTGTTTGGTTGTACTATACTTAACCCGTTTCAAATGACTTGATGCAGCAACAAATGATTGTGTTCACATTTACATTTAAAAGGCTTAGACAATGCTCCGTGTTTAAAATCTTCATGTATTTAAGTGAACTACTCATAAATAATTGAGTAGTCAGAAGTAGGTTTCCATGACTGATCGTTTGTTTACGAGTCATAATAAGTGAGATTTCAGTTGATTCGTCGGCAGCAATTCTGTTCAAATAAGGATAATAACTTGATATCAAGTAATATTTCTCACTGAAAAAAATGATGCATGTTGGACAGTGAAAAACGAGAGTTTCCACGCAGATGTATCACAATCCTTTCAAGCTAGTAGAAATAATATCAGCCACCTCACACAAACATAAATGTAGCTGAATATAAAATATATGAACTTCGGTATGGAGCTATCGCATTATACCAGTTGTAACTGAACGAAAAGTGAGCTTTATTTGTCTCCTTTTATTTTGAATCAATCTTATTGTATGTTAATATTTATTTGATTCGTAATATTTGTCGATTTTTAATGTAAGCCATTTCGCCTTGATTAAGACATATTGATTGCATGGTAGGGAATAAGGGAAGACAAACAAATAATAGTGAAAAAGGTTAGAAAAAATCCCATTATAGCTGATTGTATGTTTGTAGGGAAATTTTCCACATGAATATATACTACCATCATTGTTTGTATTAATGGTAATACTAGTAGCAGTAAAAAGTATCAGTTTTATAAAATGTCAAACGATACTAGATATATTTTTGGTTTCACTTTATTTCATATAGAAATGTTGGTAAAAATGAAGCGATAAAATTGATTTTTACATATAAACATATGAAAAAAAAAAGAAATGAATACATAAAGGATTGACGAGATGTGTTTCTTTCTCATTCTACTTTTCTCTCCATCTGTTGCTGATGTTGCTTGTGTACTTTTTTTCTTATTTTCAATGTTAAAAAAAAAATACTTTTTCAAAGAGTAAATACAATTAGTATGTTGTTAAACAACTCTCATTAATAGTAAATTGACTTTTCGATAATAAACACGAACATCAACAAAAATAACTCATAAACTAATTGAGAAATGAATACTAATTAATTAAACTAGTTATTCTGAAAAGTGGAAGAAAATAATTGTAAAGCAGGTTTGAATTACCAAAAGATATATGAGATAAGGTAGGTACATCTGCTCTCTCTCTCTCGCTCGCTAAATAAAAGGTCGACTTATCACGTTGTTGAAATTTATAACTGAATTTCGAGTAAACCTTTATTGTACGGATTAACTCGATATATTCATCTTGTCAGCAAATATTAATAAAGACACTGGATTCAAGTCACAATATGAACACCAACATGAATGTTGTTACATGTAACTGACGAGTCATAAGTAAAATGAAACTAGGTACAATCTATCTATTTCCCCCCTCTCTCTCTCTCTTATTCCTAATAGTATATAATACATATGAGTATTTTTATCAATTCAGTCGAGTGAATAAACAAAAGGAAATAATCCACTATCATGTCACTGATTTTTCTTGACTAAATTTAAATAGGTTAAATGTTTTATGCTTTAACTTATCATAATACTGATAAATTTAGAAGATTTATTGATTGTTTACTAGTTTTTAATTTAGAATAGTGATTAATCTTTTGTCATTTGAAGCGAAATAATGCTTAGTCATATTATTCAAGTGTATCACTCTCTCTCTCACTCTCTTATGCATAACAATCAATGGTATGATTTTATTCCAATGAAGTTAGATGATTGGACAATGGACACAAGTGCTTGGTCGTTTTCCAGTTACAGCTAAGGGTTTAATTCTATCAACAATTAACTATCACACTGCTTTAGTCGCATTGAAAAGTTTGTAAAAAGAAAGAAACCTGGTTCAAATGAACAACGGGGCAAATGACCATTTTAAGGTTTTCTCTATGCTTTTGCATTAGAGACTAATTGATGACGTAGTTTGTACCAGCTGCAGTAATCGAATTCATAATAGAAATGTTCGTATTAGAATAGTTTATTGATTTCCTAATATGGAAGCATTGTAGACTAGCCAGAAAGTTTAACAGACAATTGATTTATTACAATTATTCATGAGAATGACAGACTAAATACACATAGAAAGTATGTACAAAAAAAGACTAAAAAGGAGTTCACATATATAAATGAATGAATGGGAAATAATAAGAACCATCAAAAGTTATCCTTAAAAATTGTAGATATTTTTTCATAACCGAATCAATAGAAGAAAAAAACTTTCTAATCTTTCGTGACTGAATGTAAGTCATTGCATCTTTAAAATCAACGGGTAAAATGAAAACTTAATCCATAAAATGCAATTCAATTAAAAAAAAAATTCAACACTTTAATCAATGAATTAAGTTTATAAGGATGGGAATGACAGAAGCAAACAAACAAATAATAATAAACTGTATTCTATTGACTTTTTCGGGATCGATCAATAATTTAGTTCATCACCATAAAATAATTGAATTGAAGAGAGAAAAGAGAGAGAGAGAAAGAATTTACACCGACCTAACATGATTGATTATGACAAATGGAATTCAGTTTAGACTGTTGGCATATATAGTTATACATATATATATATATATATATATATATATATGCACACACACACACAACACAATTTTGAGTAGAAATCAGTCAACACACATTCATTTCAACTTTCAATGAATTAAGAATATTCGGGTAAATTTGTATTCATTGTAAACTAAGGGATAAACATTGAAAAATCGAAACTTAATAAAACTACAAAATAATTAATTTTATGCAACTACATAATTACTATTGAAAATCATTTTTCTTTTATACAAAGTAAACTAATGAATACTTACTTCAGATATAAAATAATGATTGATTGAAATTAAAATTTCAATTGTAAAAGATGAAAAATTTATTTTTTTTTTAAATAAAAATTATGTATTGTTAAGTTAAGCTGATAACAGTATTCAATAAAATTCTATATTAAATAATAATAATAGTATTAAGTAAAAAGTCATTGAATACATTGCCTATGTACATTAAACTTCAATGAGTGTCGGCAAAATATTGACTAAGTAGAAAATCTCTTGGAATATGAATCCCAACTGCATAAATTTATACTTACCTAGATTTTGAGTAGGTATGATGATATGTTGAATAAGATGGGGGCAGAGGAGCAGAAGGAACAGTAACCGATGGAATTGAACTTGAAATATGAGGTGCTAGTTGTTTTTCTGATACAAGTGAATTAACATAGTGTAAATTACTTTGACTAGAAGACCATGTTTGTATAGGAGGCTTACGTCCAAACACTGCAGCAAATTGTCTATCTAAACGATCTGCTTCAACAAGACCATCATGCCATCTTTTCTTATCCTAAAATGATCAGAAAATAAAATGTAAAAGATTGGCGGTCAATTTTTTTCCCATTAAGAATTATTTATTATACAATAATCTTAATATTCGTTCAATTCATAATATGCTTCTTTTTATCAGAATTAAAGCCAATAAAGATGATGAAGCTAGACAGAAAGAAAGAAAAACGATGTGGAAAAATATCCCTGGTGCGTTGATTTTTCCATTTATAACGTAAATTTCTGATCAGTTTAACACAAAAATGTCTACTCCTGTAGGGACTCTAGAAAAAAAAAGCAATAAAATATAAGCATTTATGGATATGATTTAATTCAATGTTTATATTGACGAGATTAGGATAGAACACTTACTATATCAGAGAAAAATGGTGGTTGCATAAATGGTAGGCTTAGAGGAGAAGAGGAAGAATTTTCATCTGATAAATGTGTTGGATTAGTTCCAATTTGATTTATTGTTTGACGGCGTGCACTTGCAATTACATTATGCCATTGATTAATTAGAGTTAACATACGTTCAGCTTCATCTGCTCTTTGTCGGCAAACTTGCAAATCATGTTCTTTACCGGATAACAAGGAGGCTAATCGATCGATTTCTTTTACTAAATATAACATAATGTTTTGACAAAAGAAAAAAGAATTAACAATAGATCTATATATATATATATATATATATATATATATATATATATATTGACTAGATAATAGATGCATACATTAACATGCAAACAATATAAACGGTAACAATAATTAAGAAATTATTATTTTCTAATCCAAAGCCTATTCTATTTTTTAAAGCCGATTTGAGTATAGCAAAAGCAATTCATACACAAAACAAACAAATTCTATCTATTCTTTATCAACGTGAATGATAATAAATGAAATTTAGAGAATCATTAGAATGAGGTTACAATGAAAAATGTAACAAAACCTAAGAAGTTAATTTATTTTGAATAAGGATTTGGTCCCGTGATAGTAATCCAATAATGGACATTCTCTTCACTGTGTATGAGATGAAAGTCGTACTAATAATAATTGTAATGAAAGAAAAAGGTTAGAATACAAATTGTGGCTTAATCGATTGATTTCCCCCCTAATCAAGTCACTATAGTTTACTTATTATAAAGGGAAAAAAAAAGCACTTGATACAACAAACTATTAAGAATTGTAACAAATGAAATGAAATGACATGATCTTGAAGAAATACACAGGATAGAAGATAACAGTAATAAATAATGACAAGTACAATTCACGTAAAAACAGAAACCAAAACAAATTTTCATGATTTAGATGGACCATTTTAGTGTTTATGAATCACATAATAGAAAATCAGGGCAGAATTTTCATCAGTCTTTATTCTGAGGCATAGCTGATAGAGTCGCACATTACTTAACTGAATGATTCTTTAACTAAAGATTTTGGTATCAAAATATTTTTAAAGCATACTATATACAAATGTTGACACTTTACATTAGAATAATCAATAATTTTTGCTTGAATCAGTCAGTCATTCGTAAGTGAACATATGTAACACATATTCCAATCATTTTAATTAATGACAGCCTACATCTTCATCGATAAAATTTCTCATCTTCACTTAATACTCTACACTTGACCAGGACATTGACTACTTAATAGTTCTAACATAAGCGAACAATGTTTTGAAGGTGCTTATGATTTGACAAAAAAAATTAATAATTTAAAAACTATGCACAGATTCATGTACTAAATTATGGTTTGAAAATGAAAAAGATAAACTAAGAACGTATTAAACTGTATTTACTAGAGTCTATTATTATTGAGAAAACTTGATATTATTACATCCAGGTGTACAATCAATATAAATTATTCTCTATACTTATTTACTGCCTATCTAATATCAAGGATAACACGTGTTCCCTTTAACATTTCTTCACTTTTATACAAAATGTAATAAATGTTTCAACAATGACTAAAATCATTTACACACATTTGATCATAATTAAAACAAAGTAAACATTGTTAATTGTATCGACTGAATAAACAATATATATATATATATATATATATATATACATATATAATCTTAGTTATCTCAGTGATCGAATGTAAGTAACAACAATAATGATAGCTTTGTTCAATGCAATAAATAAATTTTGTTACAGTATGGAAGTTGTAGCTTTGATTCTTTAATATTGTAACAAATTTCTATTTAACATTTAATCAAAAATAATCTTTTCTAAGAAATGCTTTCAATAATCAATATCTATCATTTATTTTTAATCATGAAAATTTCCTAACAATTAAGCTGCTACTGTTACCATTATCTTTTCCATTTATCATATTATAAATTAAAATGAGTAACATACCAATTTATTTGTCTCTCGTTCTTATAGATAACAGAGAAGAGAAAAATATTCTAGCAAGCAGAGTGTCTCTGTTGGAAGTTTCTACTATTTAACATCGCACTGACTTGTAATCCTTTTATAGAAGTGTTGGGGTACGTGAGATGATAGTAATCGATGGTTAGAGACTTTGGATGACATTGTTTAAAGTCGTTTGCAATGGCGCAGATGCATCCATTTCTTGTGCTTTCTCAAACTCTAATCTTTTTAGCTTTATTTCACTAGATTCCACTTCTTGATTAATATCTTCGGACCCTAATCTCTTCGTTACTGCCACTACTACTATGGGATTTGAATTGACAATTGCATTTTTATATGCTAATGTGGTATGGCAGCTTAAAATGATGTACGTACGTACGAAGTTCTACGTTATAACTAACTGACTGACTGAGCAGTCTGTAAGTACATACACTTACTACTCGTATTTACTAATTCAGACAACTGTAAAAACAGTAAAGTTTATCAGTTGAAAGTTAGGTAGCCCAAATGTGAAGACTAATATAATATATGAAGATAGTCTATCACAAACTGATATCAGTTAAAGAACCTCTATTGAAAGCTACAGAGTATTGAGAAGCTATTTTATTTCTAACTTTAAACTCCTTGACCATAAGAGCTTACAACTGCAACAAAGATGGGACTTGGAACATTAGAGTATTGATGAGATCAAGCTACTATTAAAACATTAAATTGGAATTACAGTGATTTATATCATAAGTTCATTAAGAAGTTTCACATAATAATTGAACAGCTATTCTAATGGTTCTTTATTTTTAATAGTACTCTAAGTGATATCAATTCATGACGAAAAGTCTCTTCATAATTTACGAATAAATAAAATTCAGATTTCACTTTTTTCTCTTTAATCCAATATAATAATGGGAAAGATTCAGTTTAGGGAAAAAGCATTAAACTTTGAACGGGTTTTAAATTAATTAGTAGTAATAGGTGAGCAGAATAGAGCAGAATAACGTAAATTATATGAAAAAAAGTGCAGAAAAAAGGTGTTGAATACACAATTATGGTCAAAGACGATAAGTAGATTATTAGATATTTTTAAAGTGATCGACAGAAAACTATAAGAATAAGGGTCCTAATATATTTAACGATACTATCTTTAAAATTGATTTGTAATCTGTGACATTTTAACAAATGTCATTTTATGTTTCAGTTCAAAATACTGATGTTAAAATGACTCGACAATGATCAGCTTTCTTTAAAACTGAATAATTCGCGCATTATTTTAGTCATTTAATAAGCCAACTTGTATTATTATCGATTATTCTTCGGTTTTCGACAATAAATGGCAATTTTTGTCATTATTGTTAACTTTTATGATAATTTACCATGTTACTTTTCAAGTTGATTTACTCAGACTTTTTCCATTAATATAAAACGACTAATTGCAATGGAAATATTTTTATTCTATAAGTCAGTCACAAATAGAGTCGTCAGTGTTACTATTAGCTTAGTGTTAGGTCAATGATTGATGAAACAAGCGAAATTCTAAATACAATAACTTTTAACACTCACCAAGATTTTCATTACTCAATCGAACTTGTTCTGTTTGACCACGAAAACCACGTAGTTTATGCAACCGGATTTCTTGTTCTTGACTAAGATCAGATGGTTTAGAGGTAACCTGTGGAATAGTCAAGAAAAGAAGAAATCAGATATCTGCTTTGAACTATCTGAGAAAAAAACCAATAGAAAATTACACAATAGTTTATAAAGTTGCAATCACACCGAAAACCGCTGATCCAAACATTCCTGTAATCCAGGTCCTTTTTTGAATTTTAATCTTCACCCTGGTACACAAAAAATAATTTTGTAACCGATATTTTTTATAAATTATTTATCTATTGCTAATAATTTTTTTTAAATCACCTGATTCCGCTGGATATTTGGACTGAAGCAAGAAGATGTAAATAGGAATATGACGCAACGGTAAATTTTGAATTTCAAGTGAATTAGTGGAAAAATTCTTAGAACCATCATTATGTATGAAGAATTCAAAACGAGATGGAATATATATATATACATTGGGAAAAAACTGATTGTTTACGAAATACATATACGAAGTCTTCAGTTATTTATTCGCATGTTTGTCAATCCAAGTAGGAGATGGGCTGTCTTCTTTGGTTCTTCTTCCGGTCTCTAAGTTTCCTAAATAAGCTGTGTTCCTGAATTCCTGAAACTCATATCATCAGTTATTGACGTTGGAGAATCCCGACGAGGCTCCATTGCATACTACTGATGACGAAACTCGTAAGTAGCAGTCCCGATTCCACTAGTAAAGTCATGCAAACATTGATGTTAAATACCTTATATATACATATACATATACATATATATATATATATATATATGTAACATACATATACTAAGAGATAAGTATTATCAATAAGTATCAAAGTGATGCCAAAAGAGACTGATCATATGCAGTTGGAAGATTACAGCAACCAGTAAAAATCAGTTAAACTTCACCTAATTGTACAAACCAGGGGCTATCTGGACTGATCAGCTGAATAGATAACGTAATAGCGTTTGAAACGAAAGATACTTGGATTCGAGTCTTGGAGCAAAGATCGACTCTAGGTTGCAAGTATTTCCAGATGATGAGTTCCAAATAGCATGAAACGAGTGTCCTGGATTCCATTGCTAGTTACCATCTATACCTGCTTATAACAATCACTATTGGTTTCGAGGTTGTCATAATGATAAACAACGTAAGAAGTGCAAGTAGTGTACCACTGAACATCGTCTTTCTATTTACCTTTTCATTTTCAGCACATCGATTTTGTGCTGAACGTTGTGAATTTAACGAACGAAGCCATGCACGACGTTCTTCTCTAGCTTGTAATTGTTGAGCTTGTCTAGCCAATTGTTGACGTTGACGCTCAGCTATTGAACGTAATTCACTAATGGTCATTTCATTTGCTGGATCATCAATCATTAGATCAGCTACTTTCTCTTGTTGCGATTGTGGAAGGGGTGGAGGAGGCGGATGAGAAGAAATACTACTATGTTTCTGATTTGTTGCTACAGTTTGATGATTACTAACACTACTACGATTATTAATTCGTGAAGAAGGTGTAAATGTTTTATTTTTAAGTGCTGAATCAGCATTCCCTGTAAAAATGGTAGCAGCGGTAGTCATGGTAGATGGTATCGACGTCAATAAAGATTTCAATAAATTAGAGGAACAATGAACCGATATAGATGCTTGTAAACCACCACCAATTGGTGCACTCGGTTCAGTGGTGTTATAAGTTGATTCAACTGTGTTTGGATTTGCCGAATAGTTGGCGCCAACAGTGCGATGACTACGATGTGGACTATTCTGTGCTGTTAAGTCACCAGAGATCTAAACATTTGTCGAAAAACAAAGAAATAAACGAAAGTGAATAATCTCAACAATAAGCAGTGATAGAATTGTTCTAAAATCAATATTTAAATTTCATATTTGTAGCTGAGGTACCAAGAAAGTTAGCCATTTAAAAAATTTCCTTTCATTTCGAACAATCAGTAACCAAAATGGAAGCATTGTCTGTCCAACAAATAAAATAGTACAGGAGTGAAAACGACTGATATAATCAAGTCGAAAATGAATCAACGAAGGTATAGAACGACAAGTATTCAAATCACTCTAAGCCCAGTCGCTTAATCCTACACACTTATATCAAGTCGACAGATTTTTTAAATCGCAATGATTCAATAGAACCTGGAAATGAGATAACTCAAGTGGTTAACACCCTCGGCTGCCGACCAATAAAGGTTTGAAATCAGTTCTACATAATTCAATTAAAGGATCCGAGCTGTAATAACAAACAGTGTAGCTCGAAGACGATCACATGGCTTTGAAGGTGGCAACCCATAACCCTAAATAGGTTTTAACGATGAAATGAAATACTCTCAAACATTACCATTGTATAAACTGCAGTTGGATTGCACACATAAAAAATTTATGAAGATAAACTTTGAAAACAGATTTATTTTATCATTCAAGTAGTGAAAGATATAAAATACAATCATACAACGACGTCTATCATTAACGATTATATACAATATATGATTAATTCTAACAGTAAACGATTAAAATTACCATTATTACTACTATTATGCCCAGAAAATTTTTATTTCGAATATAGTCGGGTTTGTGAAGATTTTAGAATTTTTGAAATTTACATCATGGATTGATCTTAACTAGACTAGAGTTGAAAACTAGGAAACATGTTTAATTGAGTTCTAATATAAGATTTCTAAGCAATCCGCACCCGCAATCTCATTGTAGATTGAAGCCGCTTTTGCGGCGAGCACTTAAATTCTAGACTACTGAACTGGCATCTTATGGTGTATATTGCCTACCCTCAATCGATTTAACCATTTTCCACTGTCTGAGATGAATACTTGTGTTCTACTAGACGAAGCAACTACTCACTGCTTTCTAGTTTTCATTGCTTGTCTGATTGAAGCTGGCTAGTGAATTAAATTATGAAGAAAATCTATTTAATTCTTACAAAATCTGATACAGCAGGACTCCGAAAATAGTATGAACCAGATAAAATAAAACTGTGTTTGTGCGATGCAATACTGAACAAGTCAAGGCAGTTTATTCTTCAGGGGGCTCCACAAGGGAATTTTTGACCCAAAAGTCTGATCCACAAGAGAGTGGATTAAAGTTAGGTACTGTCATCCCATGATAGCCAGTGACAGAAAATTAGTTAATATACTGTTTCATCAATCATGAGCATCAGTAGTTTGGAATTAAGATTTTTCAATCCTTCAAGGTGAACTTCCTTCATATTCAGTCACCATTGTGGAAAGATGGAAGTTAGTGTTTTGTCGTCTCACTTTCGAAAAACCCATACCCTCATCGTGTGAAGACAGTGAACAAGACTTCTCTTCCAGAGGAGAACAAATAATTGTCTATAACAAAATTCTAAATTTATTTTACATGTATTTTTATGATTACTTATAATTTTCTATCAAAATAAGAAAAAAAATGGTAGAAATAATAATTTCATTTAACAAAATCCATTCAGGAATTCTTGTCTACATAAGAATTTTCCACTGAATAATAAACGACTGGTTTAAGTTGAATTATATTGATTATTAGCTAAACAAATCACCCATTTATTATTGATAATTTTACAAAGCATTAGATTTATCTAATTCTATTATCTAAATGGAAAACAAAATGATAGGATTTCTTTCGATTGGTCTATTCATCATTTAAAATAGCAAATGAATTTAATTTACTAAAAAAAAATCAAATTAAGTAAGCTACACTATCAAACATCCAGACACAGTAGCAGTAGTCGTAGTATAAACGGTATGGTAGACTTATTTAGGAACTAAGAATTAAATATTGAGTCAAGAAATATAGTGAATGACATATCTAACGTATTAATAGGTACACGAAAGAGACTCAAGTACTCATATGGAATATTTGAAAAGAATACCAACCATGATATCCTGACAAATGTTATCAAGACAAGGGAATAATATAAAACTGTCAAAAATCGAACGATCTTAATGCTGACCTATTCTTATAGAAATATATTGGCAAGATCCTTATTCACTAATAATTAAACGATATGGAAAACAAAGCTAGTTGTGTTCTAATGATTGCAGCAGTAAACTTTCAGAAATCGGATTACAAGCTTGAAACCTATGTAACTTTGTCACGAGAAAACAGATAAGATCAAAAATCATTTGACTGTGTAATTCAAATCAAGTGAATGGACGTGTAGTTAGGTAAGCATTTTAGATAGACTATATTTTTGAAGAAACTTTGAAAATAAAAGATGAGCATCCCCACTGAGGTTGAAACAAATACACAAGGTTTAGCAAATCAATTTCAGAGAGCTTCATCTGCAGAGTATTAAATAAGTGACTGTCCTGGTTTTTAGTCGCCTAACATTAATATACTTCATTAAAAAAGTGGTGCAGTAATTACGTGAAATTTTACTCCAGTTCAAATACACTTGTTGATAATATCGGCAAACATGATGTCATGTGTAAAATTTTAAGATGACTAAACAAACAAACAGTAATAATAGGTACGGACTAACAACAGAACTCAGCACAATTCTTTGTCGACATAATAATTAGGTATATACATATGTTGTACGCCATTTTATCAGGTCAATTTATTGCAAAGATGTGCAATTATGTGAAAGAAATCTGAACAACGATGACTCAATCGAATAGAGAATATCATGAAGTGTCTGTATATGTGGGAAACCCAATAAACACAACAAATTATTTAGATAAATAACTGAAACAGAAGATACAGTATTATACACCTAATAATTTATACGAAACAAGTCGTTGTTATGGTTACTGTATAAAATAAAACAAGAGAATTGATGGTCAAGGTCACAGAGTACTGAATATAGGATACAGTGTACAGGTGGACATAAATACATGTGATTTCAGTATTAGTCTTCCTAACCCTGAAAAGGGACGCATTCAACTATGCACATATAGTAAGTACTAATGAGTCATATTCCAAAAGGTCATAAGAAGTTTTATATAGGTATTGTATAAACGAAGTGAGAATTGCTTCATATTTTTTTAAGTGTGATAATAAAAATATATTCTGAAAACAACGATTACAGAATTCATGCCAGTTTATCAGCTTCTTTTCAGAAGCCAAATTAAAGAATATACGGGTAACAGAATAATTTTGGATTAGTTTTAAGTGAAAACTTTGAAAATAGTACTTCTTATTACAGTCAGACAATAACCGCAAAACTAATAAACACCAAATAACACAGAGCAGTTACTTTGTCATAGTTTATTGCTCCTTACTAGTGCTAAATAAATCGAGTTGCATTTATAACAGAAAATTTGTTCGCTCAAGCGAAAACCCTATTAGTCATAGATATCTGTAATGTCAAATGTGATTTGTACATTTGATGACTGAAACTGAAAAAATGTTATTTGTTAAATAGATCCTGGTCATCGATTTGTTCATATCAAGAATATAAACAAAAGTACCAATCAGCAAGTATATATATATATATATATATATATATATATATATGAACTGCATTTTTAAGTATTACAGAGACAAAGAAATATTCTAATTTTATGACACGAAAATTTTTAGAAATAAATTTTATCTATCCTTACTTGAAATACTCTTTTTCCTTTCTCCGCTCACTACCCTCAACCTCTACTTTCAAGACATAAAAGCAACAAATAGAAAAAATCTACAAGTGATAAGTAGAGTAAAACAAATTCAACGATGTAATCAATAAACAACTATATATATATATATATATATATATATATATATATATATATATATATATATATAGTCGTTAATATAGCTTTATTACTGCATAAATTTGTTTGTAGTTTCATTGAATAAGTATAATCTTACAAACAATAATTAGATAAGCAGATAGATTAAACAGGTAGACGATGTATTTAACTCATAATTATAAATAGTAAAAGGAAAGTATTTTATGTCTTACAAAAGATGTTACCCAAAACAAGACCTTTTGAACATTTTTGCGGGTAATTATTAACTATAGATGGATTCGACGTATTGTTCGTGTATCATGGAATGACCGAGTTAGAAATGTTTAGGTTAGGGATAATGTACTAGGTAAAGATGACGAACCAGTGAATGAGGTTGTCAATCTTCATTGACTTAAGTGATTAGGACAAGTGTTATGAATGCCTAATCGCTTCCTATATCAACGAGCGATGTCCGCTTATGCAGTAGGCCGGAAGAAAACTAGGGCTGGCCTAACCAGAACGTTAGATCGGTCCATGAAGGCGCTGACTGTTCATCTAAGCCACATAGGTAGATGCAGACTATCTGGTCTTGATCTACAAGGCAAACCTGATCAATGACAATGGAACTCATCAACAGTGCGCATCCGATACTAGGACGAAACAGCCGTCCAGTGCTTCCAGGTTTCTAATGGTGGTCTAACAATGATTGATTGATTTCACTGTGAAGCCAGTCATTTATCTGTTCATCCGTAACTGGCCTCAGATATCTACAAATCACATACACTCTGAATAAAGCTTCAAAAACAGGAAAATCACTAAAAGAAGCTAGAAAATAAATAGTTATATTACTTATAATATGCGGTTAGATTAAATAGTATTGTTCAATGTGAATTTTTATTTAGTCTCAAGTTCAGTGAATATTTTCCAAGCCCAACTAATCCATTTCACTAAGACGTATTCATGATTGAAATATAACTTGAGATTACTTAAGGAATTGAACTTAATTATATTTTTTTTAAAGTTATACGCAGACTACATTTTGCATTCCAGTTGATCAAAGGAGATTGCGATCATAGATTTTTTTATTTATTAAATTGTCTATAAAATTTG